TGCACCCCGAGAACTTGCCACTTCCAAGCCACCGGCAAAGGGCAGCACCAGCTCCCGCGGTGGCTCTGACCAGGGGCCTGGCCAGGGGGTGGGCAGCCATCACCACTGGCTTCAAGCTGCCGTGGTGGGAGGAGGCTTCATGGACCTGGATCCTTTTTTTTTTTTAAGATCTTTCTTTATTTAAACTGCATTTTTATTTATTTCAGAGAGAGGAATGGAGAGAGGAGAGAGAGGGGGATAGAAACATCAATAAGACGCAAAACCGGTTTGGCTCAGTGGATAGAGCGTCGGCCTGCGGACTGAAAGGTCCCAGGTTCGATTCCGGTCAAGGGCATGTACCTGGGTTGCCGGCACATCCCCAGTGGGAGATGTGCAGGAGACAGCTGATCAATGTTTCTCTCTCATCGATGCTTCTAAATCTCTCTCTCTCTCCCTTCCTCTCTGTAAAAAATCAATAAAATATATTTTTAAAAAAGAAAAAAAATAAAGGAACATCAATAAGAGAGAATCGTTGATCGGCTGCCTCCTGCACGCGCCGTGGTGGGAGGAGGCTTCATGGACCTGGATCCTTTTGTTTTTTTTAAGATCTTTCTTTATTTAAACTACATTTTTATTTATTTCAGAGAGAGGAATGGAGAGAGGAGAGAGAGGGGGATAGAAACATCAATAAGAGCCAAAACCGGTTTGGCTCAGTGGATAGAGCGTCGGCCTGCGGACTGAAAGGTCCCAGGTTCGATTCGGGTCAAGGGCATGTACCTGGGTTGCCGGCACATCCCCAGTGGGAGATGTGCAGGAGACAGCTGATCAATGTTTCTCTCTCATCGATGCTTCTAAATCTCTCTCTCTCTCCCTTCCTCTCTGTAAAAAATCAATAAAATATATTTTTAAAAAAGAAAAAAAATAAAGGAACATCAATAAGAGAGAATCGTTGATCGGCTGCCTCCTGCACGCCCCACACTGGGGATTGAGCCCGACAGCCATGCCCGGGAATCAAACCAGGACCTCCTGGTTCATAGGTCATGGTTCAACCACTGAGCTATAACAGCATTTTAAAAATGCAAGTTGACCCCAACCGCCCTGCAATCACAGGCAAAACCACGCATATGCATCTTCTGGGGAAGAGGTTTCACAACTTCCACTCGATTTGCAGATGAATTCAGAAGCAGTGGGTGATCAGCCAAAGAGGAAATGATGTCATTGCTCGCTCAATTACATTAGCTGTCGAGGCCGCATCTCTCCGAGCGCGGTTAGGTCGGTACTGCGTGCTCGGCGCTGAGGGTAACAGTGCACGTCCGTGGACTGGCCCCTGGACCTGCGACATCAGACTCTCGGGAGCTGGCACCGAGGAACCTGCATTTTAAGAGACTCCCTGGGTGGTTCTGGGTGATGCTGACGCGCTCTGAGTGTCACGAACGGCCTGGGCTTCCGTCTGAAAAGCCACCGGTTCCGGGAAAGCTCCGTGAGTGGGGTGTGGAGCCCGTGGAGCACTGAGGCCCGGCCCGGGCACACGTTGCCTTCCAGGACCACCGCCCACAGCCCGGAACCTTGGCCAGGGAAGCCCTCTCCTGCCGCAGTGCCCCCTGCAAGCGTGTTCTCTGTGCTTCCCACGCGGACAGCAGCCCTGAGTGAGGTTCGTCCTCAGATCACAGCTCAGCGTCCCAGAGCTGGTGAGGACCAGGCCCGCTGCTCCCCTGGCAGAGGGAGAAGCGATGACCACGGGGAAGGAAGAGGGAGGGGACATGACCACGGGGAAGGCAGAGGGAAACCCTGACCACGTGAGCCTGGAGGCAGGCCAGGCATCTTCCTGGGAGAGTCTTCCCACCTCCTACCTCTGCCCATGTGCTTGGCAGAGTTCGCCCCCAAACGATGACGCATTTTGGGTGATGACTTCTGTAACATGCAGACCTTAGACAGTAGCCACGTGGGACGGACTCATGGACACGCGCTGGAAGGGAAGGGCTTTCTCTGGGCGGAGGGAAGAGAACGGGAGGCCCTGGGCGGGCGAAACTGTTGAGGATGTGTGCGCTGCAGGGTCCCGTCCAGCAGGGGGCGATGCGGGGCGGGTCCTGTAGGCGCTCGGGGTGTCCACTCCCCGGGAACATGGGAGCGACCCTCACCTGGACTCAGGAGAGCAGGTGAGAGTTCACGGGAAGGGGCAGCCGCAGCCAGAGTCACTGATGGGACCAGAAGGCGTACGGGGCATGTCTGTCTCCAGGGACCTGTGCTTTCCGAGCCTGCTCTAGGGAGAGTGACGGCTTTTATAAACAGGGAAGAAGGACAGAATCACAGCTTTGCTTCCTTTCTCTCCCTCCCTCTCCCTCTCTCTTTCTCTCTCTCTCTCTCTCTCTCTCTCTCTCTCTCTCTCTTTTTGTTAATCCTCAGCCAAGGATATTTTCCCATTGATTTTTAGAGAGAGTGGAAGGGAGAGGGAGAGACAGACAGAACATCGATGTAAGAGAGGCCACCAATTGGTTGCTTCTTGCACATCCCCCAACCAGGGCCGGGAACCTACAACCAAGGTATGTGAATCGAACCCGGGACCCTTCAGTCTGCAGCCGACACTCTACCCACTGAGCGAGACAGGCTAGGCCTGCCTTTTCTTTTTATACTTAAGAGAAGGCGCCAGGAAGAGAGAAAAGACAGGAAAACAAAGAGATGCGCTCATGCTCAGGGGAGTCCGCCTCTATTCAGAGTGATGGCAACATGGCCCCCGGGGCACCCCAGCCAAAGCGCAGGCGGCAGGAATCAGAAACATGAGGAACTGCGAGCCCTGGACTAGTGACCCGCCCCCCCTCCCGGCTTTGCGCCCTCAGGTCCCAACGCAGAGGGTTAGGTCACTGTGTGCCCTGCCCGCCCCTCTCCAGGGCTGTCCTCCCCTGTCCGGTGTCAAGCCTGGGTCTCCAGCATCAAAGTAAAGAAATAGAACAAACCCATCCAGGGCGTCTTTAAATATTCAGATGCGCCCCTCACGGCTAAATTAAGCTTTCCTAAGAAAAAGCAAGTCAATTAGTTCAAAATGTGGGTTAGTGCTTCTGGGTATTTAAAAGGGGATTTTTTTTCTTTTTTAGTTCATTTAGAAACATAGCCACGGGGCAGGCCTAGACCCGCTCCTCAGCACATCCCTGAATTGCCACCAGATTCCCAGATACTCAGTTCTGACATCCAGAGCTTCGAAATCTGGTTCTCAAAGTCACAAAGGCGTGGCCATAGGAGGTCTGAGCGGATCCTGCTTTGCCCTTTTCCGTCACATCCTTTGTCTCCACCGTCACACGGATGGATCGCCCTCCTAGGCGCCTGGCCCCGCTGCAGAACAGGCTCCCTGTCTCCCTCGCCTCACTCAGGACCGCGAGCTCTCTAACGCCCGTGGACCGAGGCAGCTCTCCGTCATGGGGACAGGCGGCCGTGGAGCACGCTGCGCTGCACTGAAACCACCTGCCCAACTTGTCTCCGTGCAATGAGCCCAACTTGACCAAAATGCGAACAGAATCCCGTATTTCTTAAGAAGATGAATTGCCAGAGGCAATTTCTGGGCCCTAGAATATGACCGCTTTCATGGCTTTCTTAAAAGGCTATCTCAATTGATATTGGCAATAAAAAAATATGAGAATAACGTTTTCATACCAATATTAGGGTATAAAGTGTTGTTGTTTTGTACATTATTGTTGCTTGTTTTATTTCGCTTTTACTAAGTTAATAGGCTATTTTTAAAAATATAGTGGATAGTTTCAGGGACATTTTATGTTTGGAGACAAATGTAAATAGCTCCTCCATTATTTAAAATACACGTATTTGTTACAAGACATTAACACATATCTCCGTTTCCACCGTAATTAGTATTGCAGTGACACTGAAGTAAAGGTCATTGAATAATGGGAATAACATCCACTTCAGCCCGACACACCCTTCCAAGCTACGTTACGAAGGTAAAGAAACTGCATTAATTTTACTTGAACGTTGACAGCCCTCACCCTGGGCTTCTCTATGGAGCAGATGAAGTTTTGGTCTCAGAATGTGAGGACAGCAGAATACCTGAGGCTCCACAGAACACAACAGCCTTCCGGAAAACTACGTCCCCCTCAGACCACTGGCTTTACAAACATCTAGGAGACCGGTGGGTGAAAAGATCATTATAGTGACCAGGTAGCAACCAGAGACCAAAAACTCCTCTCCTGTCAATCCTGTGTGAAGTTCAAGCTGACCTGCTTTTTGACAAAGCATCACAGATGAAAACAGGCAACTCTCTCCTCGCTCCCTACAGCCCGGGGG